CACTCTTTCAAACACACACACATTCATATATACACTCTAACAGACCTTTCACTTACACAGTCTGCACACTCAGACACACACTCAGTACACACAAACACACACACACTCATAGACACACTCATATGTTTACAAACACTCACATCCTCCCACACACAAAGACTCTTACACACACACACAATCATATTTACACTCTCACAGGCATGCACACACATACACACAGAAACACTCTCTCACACAAACGCACACTCTCTCATACGCACACACACACACACACACTCTCACAGACCTTTCACCTGCACTGACTTCACACTCAATACACACACACACACACACACACTCATTTGACACACTTACATTATCACACACACTCACATCCTCTCACATACACACAGAAACACACACTTTCACACACACAAGTTAAACTCTCATCCACAAACACACATACTTTAAATACACTTTCAGACACACACACACACATATTGACACGCTTACACTCACAAACACACATATTCCTCCTCACAGAAACACACACTCTGACACACACACAGATACACCAACTATACACATTACACACACACACAAACACACTCACGACACACACTTTTTCACACACACACATATGTATTTCCCCCTAACACACACACACACACACACACACAAAAGTGAAATGCTTGTGTAAGTTGTAAGTGTGTTTCCAGCTGGATGGCTTCATGAGTTGTTTTGGGGAGTGTGTGTGCCTGTGTCCGTGCGTACATGTGTGTGTGTGTGTGTGTGTGTGTGTGTGTGTGCTCTTCTGAATCCCGCTGTGTGTCCTCAGGTTTCTCTCTGGTGACCTTTGCCCTGACCTCTGACCTGTGTGTGAATAATGCAGCCGTCTGTGTTGTGAGTGTGAGTGTGAGGATGAGAAATGCAGATCTACAGGTGTTTCGGTGTGTGTGCATGTGTGTGAGAGAGAGTGTGTGTGCATGATCCTCAAGGAAACACTCCAGAAAAACAGGAAGACACTTATGAAAACACACTTGTGCAATAACACTCCTGAAAGAGCTTTTGTGTGTCAGGTGCGAGTCGAGGCCTGTTTCTAACACACACACAGACACACACACACACACACACACACATTTATGCACGTTAACATATGCATGCACACAAACTTACACAAATATTTGTCAACACATACACACAGTACTGTATGATATGTACACATGAACAAGCACAGGCAGAATACACACAAACATGTGCATTTCTTTTAGCTTAGTCCTTTTATTAATCAGGTCACCACAGCGGAATGAACCGCCAACTATTCCAGCATACGTTTTATACAGTGGATGCTCTTTCAGCTGCAACCCAGTACTGGAAACCACCCATACACACTCATTCTCACACACACACACACACACACACACACACACACGGATGGATGGACAAACGGACAGACCGACGGAGGGATGGATGGATGGATAGTTAGATAGATAGATAGATAGATAGATAGATAGATAGATAGATAGATAGATAGATAGATAGATAGATGGATGGATGGATGGATGGATGGATGGACGGACGGACGGACGGACGGACGGACGGACGGACGGACGGACGGACGGACGGACGGACGGACAGACAGACAGACAGACAGACAGACAGACAGACAGACAGACAGACAGACAGACAGACAGACAGACAGATAGATAGATAGATAGATAGATAGATAGATAGATAGATAGATGATGGACAGACAGACAGACGATGGATGGATGGATGGATGGATGGATGAATAGATGAATAGATAGATGGATGGATGGATGGATGGATGGATGGATGGACGGACGGACGGACGGACGGACGGACGGACGGACAGACAGACAGACAGACAGACAGACAGACAGACAGATAGATAGATAGATAGATAGATAGATGATGGACGGACGGACGGACGGACAGACAGACAGACGATAGATGGATGGATGGATAGATAGATGGATGGATGGATGGATAGATGGATGGATGGATAGATGGATAGATGGATGGACGGACCGACGACGATGATAGATAGATGGATGGATGGATGGATGGATGGACGGACGGACGGACGGACGGACAGACAGACGATAGATAGATAGATAGATAGATAGATAGATAGATAGATAGATAGATAGATAGATAGATAGATAGATAGATAGATAGATAGATAGATAGATAGATAGATAGATAGATAGACGGATGGACTGATGGACTGATGGATGGACAGATAGATAGATAAATAGATAGATAGATAGATAGATAGATAGATAGATAGATAGATAGATAGATAGATAGATAGATAGATAGATAGATAGATAGATAGATAGATAGATAGATAGATAGATAGATAGATAGATAGATAGATAGATAGATAGATAGATAGATAGATAGAAAGACACTATTATCAATTAGTCATGGCAGCATATGTTTATTGTTCATTGTAACTTATTAAACTAAGTTAATTTTGTTTAAACTTAATTTAATAAGTTATGCAAGCAGTTTTAAGTCAGTTTAACATAATAAAAGATCAACGGACTCTTAAGGTTAATTTGATTCAGCTTTAAAATCAAAGCAACTAGGATTTTTAAAGTGTAGCTAAATTATTTTTCTAAGTAACAAGTAATGAATAAGTCACTTTTTAGAAATAGGAGACCTTCAGTATTTCCCAGAGATGGGTTGCAGTTGAAAGGGGATCCGCTGTATGAAACATATGCTGGATAAGTTGGCGGTTCATTCCGCTGTGACCCCTGATTCATAAAGGGACTAAGCCGAAAAGAAAATGAATGAATGAATCCCTTTAGTAATTGTGATTACTAGTATTTTTAGGAATGTAAGTGCAGATTGTTTGCTGTGAGGGTTGGTTTAGGGGAGATACACAGTCTGTACAGCACAAACATTACAGATATGGGAAGTCCCCACAAAGACTGCTGTACTAGTGTGTGAGTGTGCGTGTCTCCGCCTCCTCTGCAGGAGTGTGTATGTGTGTGTGTGTGTGTGTATGTGTGTGTGTGTGTGTGACTGCTTCAGTTCTCCTCAGTTCAGTTTCTCCGCTCGGCCTGATCGGTGTGTGTGTTTTTCCTTCGCTTTTCTCCGGTATCCGGGAATCACGGAGCGTGTTTGTGTCCAGCGGGGATCTGCGGTGTGTGTCTGCGCGTGTTTCTGCAGGTAAGCCGATGCTGGATCTATGTGTGTGTGTGTGTGTGTGTGTTTCTGTCACGCGTGGACAACAAATCATGCGGATCTGCGCAGAATCGGGGTTTATTCCGTTCATATTCAGTGGCGTTCAGCGTGTTGGTGACCGATGGGGATTCATTCATTCATTCATTCATTCATTCATTCATTCATTCATTCATTCACTCACTCATCGGTTTCTTCACTGATGTGAGCGCGTGTTTGCTCGGCATCTGCTCGCCCTTTTACTGTAACGCTGCTTTATATTCCTGTCAGGTTTCCTCGACTGTGTGAAACTCATGATCTCTGTGTCTGCACACACACACACACATTATGATTATGACACTCAGTTATTGAGATAAAGTTGATATTATACTCACACATTCGTTCATTTTTAACAGCGACCATTCCTGACACGCTACTTTAGATATTGGGTCTGAATTAGCATACATGACTTCATTAGCACTGTTAAACTGACTGTCAACAATGTTGTACTCTGATAGTCATCAGCTATGCTAATATGATTCACAATTTAGAATTTGCTAATAACATGTCTACTTTTATGAAATTATACTGTTATTAATAAGGTGAACGTCCGATTAAAACCAGCTTTACCTCATTCATTTTGCGTGTAAACAGGTGTGAAGCTAAATCCGATTATAAACACAGTTGAATATTTTAGTTTATTTTTGGTATTCTTCTTAAAATTATAGGTTTATAAACTTTTTATTGTTTTTTTAATGTATACGATATATACAGTGGGGCTGCACATTATTGGGAAAATATAACATTTCAATGTTTAGTTTTTCTGCCATACATATATTGCAATTATACTAATCACAAGATGGCTTGAACAGCTCTATTAGGGAGAAAAGATGATTAATTTATATTGATTAGGGTGATTTTTTTTGAAGGTGTGAATCATGTATAAGAATAATAAATAAATTGCAGTCAAAAATAATTACCATAGAACAAAATAAACAGTTTTTTTGGTTTTCCAGAGATGTGATCAGTATTCAGGAACAGAAATGGAATAATAAAATGTTAAATAAGCATGTATAGTCTTCATTGTATTAATAATTTAGTAAAATTATTCTTCATTAATGTTACAGATGTTGTGCCGAATGCTTTACACTGCTGAAATGCCTTTAAAACACGTGCAAATTATGATCCCTAGCATTTGCTGTGATGTGACCATTGCGGTCGCATTGCGATAAAGATACTGCAACGATATATTCTGCAGCCCTAATGTACACGATATATAGCATTTTAAAATTGTGTGTTGGTTAACATAAACTGTTTACAGCATGTTACTGCTGCACTCTGAATAACTCTGTATTGTGAAAATAACTTCTTTATTTTCTCTGTGTTGTTTTTAACCCAAAATTTGGGTTTAAATTGTACAAATCTAATGTTGGGATAAAAAGTGTAATATAAATTTAATTAATTTTAATAATCCAGCATTTTTTTAGAATATAGAGTAAAATCATAGTGAATTACAAAACCTTTTTAACTTGCTTAATTATTATATACTGTTACACATTTTCATAACATCGATACTAATATTTTAGTTGAACGTGGCCAATTCTGAAAGACTTGTGATCCTAATAGTAATGTTAAACCGATAATATCTGTATTTAACAAAGTATTCACATTGTGTGCTACAATAACATGTAATAATAATAATAATGATATTAATAATAGTTGAAAAGGTCAGACTGTTTTTGACTATACTATATTATTAATAAGGTGAAAGTCTGATTATAAAACCTCAGTCATTCATTTTGCCTGTTAACAGGTGTGAAACTGCACTAAATCAGTTTAACATGAAAATCACGGTTTATATTTGGGTTTCTTCTGTGTAGGTTAACAAACTTTTTACTGTATATTAATGTATATAATATATAGCAATTTAAAACTGTGTTGGTTAACATAAACTGTTTACAGCATGCTATTGTTGCGCTCTAAATAACTCTGTGTTGTTTCAAAACTCACAGTTGCGTCAAATTTGTGCAAATCCAATATTAATATAAAAGGTGTCATTTAAATTTAATTGAAGAAAATAAATAAAATAACCGAGCATTGGGATATGAAAACCCAGCATTTTAGAGTGTCTTTAATTAAAGCACAGTTCATTTTTGTGCACTGACTAATATAGCAACTCATGACTTTAATACGTTTATTACAGTTAATTGTGTCCAGATCAACTTTTGTGAAATACTCTTAAAGTGTCACTACACTCTAAAACAATGCTAGGGTTTTTTTAACCCAACATTGGGTCAAATATGGACAAACTGTTCATTTTTTTATCTAAATTTAAATGACACTTTTTAACCCAATTGTTTGACCCATTATTGGGCTGTACCAGCATTTTATTGAACACAGTAAAATCAATGACAAAACTTTTTTATTTGTTTAATTATTATATACTGTTCACATTTTCATGAAATCTACACTAATATTTGAGTTTAACGTGATTAATTATGAAAGAGTTTTGATTTTAGTGTTAAAGCAATAATATCTGTATTTGACAAATTATTCACATTGTGTGCAATAACAGTTATTATTAATAATAATAATAATAATATAGTTGAAAATATTAGCTTTACATTCATTCATTCATTTTCTTTTCGGCTTAGTCCCTTTATTAATCCGGGGTCGCCACAGCGGAATGAACCGCCAACTTATCCAGCAAGTTTTTACACAGCGGATGCCCTTCCAGCCGCAACCCATCTCTGGGAAACATCCACACACAGATTCACACACACACTCATACACTACGGCCAGTTTAGCCTATCCAATTCACCTGTACCGCATGTGTTTGTACTGTGGGGGAAACCGGAGCAGCCGGAGGAAACCCATGTGAAAACAGGGAGAACATGCAAACTCCACACAGAAACGCTGTGAGGCGACAGCACTACTGCGCCACAATATTAGTTTTTGACTTTCTTAAAGTGGCAGTGCACCCATTAATGAGAATTTACTCAATTGTTTCTGAACTTTTATAAATTTCTTTCTTCTGTTAAACACAAAACCAGATATTCTGAAGAACGCTGGAGAATCAGCCATTGACTTCCATAGTATGAACAAAAAATACTGGTTATTTGTTTCCCAGCATTCCTCTGTTTATCCTCCTTTGTGTTCAACAGAAGAAAAGCAGGTTTTATGAGGTGAACTGTCCCTTTAAGTAATTTCACAGCTCACTGATTCACTGTCTGATCATTCAGCTGAGTTAAGCAGCATTTAAAGTTCATTCAGTTAGTCTTTTTTTGACATTTAATTACTTTAAAATATCACCCGTTTCATCATATTTAATTTAAACCTCACAGCTGACATTGGAGTTAGATTATTGTAAAGCACTTCACTTTTTCAGTTTTGGCTTCTTTGCTTTAAGCGTTTTAACCTATTTTATTGATGTATGCACCATTTTAAAGAGACAAGAATTTAAGTTTCTGTCATCATTTACTTGACATTCTGGAAATCCTGTACATCACACCGTGTTTTACACATTTATTTGGTCTTCATGATCCTAGTTTAAGCTTTACACTTTCTCTCTATGCTGAACAATGCTAGAATAAGCAACCCTTGACTTCCATTGTGTTTTTTAGTACTACAATATTATTTTTGTTCCTGTAGGCCGTCAATTTAACAGTAAAAATACAGAGCAATATTCTTGTTAAAACTGGTCAACATAAACTGTTTACAGCATGTAGTTGTTGCACTCTAAATAACTCTGTTTTTTGCATGTTTAGATTGTATTTAATTAATTTAAACTGCTCATTTTTGTGCAATGACGAATATAGCAACTCATGACTTTAATATACTACTAAATACTAATGTACTACTACAGTAAATGTTCTACATAATCAACTGCTAATAAATTAATTATTACACTTATTTTTTTAATTAATTAATTAAAAATTATTAATTAAATTAATTATTACAATAAAAAAAATCTGGGTTGTTAAAACCTAATATGGTGAAAAGCCTTGGAGTAACAATTGATGACCAGCTAAACTTCTCTGACCACATTTCTAGAACTGCTCGATCTTGCACATTCGCACTCTATAACATCAGAAATGTCCGACCCTTCCTATCTGAACATGCAGCTCAACTCCTTGTTCAAGCTCTTGTTCTCTCCAGACTGGACTATTGCAACTCTCTACTAGCCGGGCTTCAGCTAACTCTATCAAACCTCTTCATCTGCTTCAGAACGCAGCAGCACGAGTGGTCTTCAATGAACCTAAACGAACACATGTCACTCCGCTGCTCATCCGTTTGCACTGGCTGCCAGTAGCTGCTCGCATCAAATTCAAAGCTCTGATGTTTGCCTACAAAGCGACTTCTGGCTTTGCTGCTTCTTATCTGCTCTCACTTCTGCAGATGTATGTGTCCTCCAGAAACTTGCGTTCTGTGAATGAACGTCGCCTCGTGGTTCCATCCCAAAGAGGGAAGAAATCACTTTCCCGAACTCTCGCATTCAATCTGCCCAGTTGGTGGAATGAACTCCCTAACTGCATCAGAACAGCAGAGTCACTCGCTGTCTTCAAGAAACCACTAAAAACTCAACTATTTAGTCTCCACTTTCCTTCCTAATCTGCAATAGCCTCTCTGGATATCACACTAACTGTACTAAAAAAATACAAATTTACTAATACTTTCCTTCTTAGACTTTACAGACCTGAAACTTGCCTACAGCACTTATTCACTGTTGCTCTTATAGTTGTGTAAATTGCTTCCTTGTCCTCATTTGTAAGTCGCTTTGGATAAAAGCATCTGCTAAATGACTAAATGTAAATGTAAATATGGACAAACCCAACATAAATACTGTAAAAATGCTATAGTAAAAAATCCATAACCTGATTAACAGTGAGTTTTCTTAATATATACAGTTAATAAGCATAAACGGACTTTCCCAGAGTTCCCTGTTTGACTTTTTGTGCCTTTTTGACATTACTGTGGTTATTTTTTAAAAGGATTTTCACTTCAGTGAT